CACTTGACAGCCCACTGACAATGCTGGATTTATGCACCAATTTCTCAGCTCCCGCCTGCAATGCGCAGCTATCTACACCCCCCCCCAAATCATCGGTGAACGAAACTGCGGCAGCTACAACAACCACTGTACGACGAGTACGCGGTCATTACAGCTGACAATGATGATGACGGATAAGAATGACGAATTCCAGGAGAATCTCTATCTTTCTTTTCATATGACTAACATTCTATGTTTGCCCAAGAACCGAGCCGAAAATGTATAAAGGTTACTCAAACACTGTCGTTCTGATGTCGCAGGATAGACCAAAGTTTACAATACATTGATGATTCTAACTCATGCTGTTGTATATTTTCTCTTCTGGTGCCGCCCAGTTGACCTTCATCGTACAAGGTCACACGGATCGTGTCAAAATACCAAACTGATAAAATGAGCGGTACTGTTCCTCTCTTCATCACCCTCTTAGCACGGTATGTACCCACGAAGTCTCAATTACAACCAGTAAATCAACAGTGGCCTCTGGGGGGGGGGGTGTACGTACTAAACTGTTTATTAGACGAGTGTATTCTGACAATAACACAGTTTGGTTAGCAACGAATGGCCTACGATCGAGCCGGTTCTCCTAGAGCTGGCAACAAAATTTGCCCAGCTCAGCGAACAAGCCAACGACCAGACCCATACGAACTTGCATGCATACTAACTGTGAGACGCAAGATGTTTTGATAAAGGATATCTGGATGGAGCATCAAGGATGAACAGAGTTGGTGGGCTGATTGTTCACCAATGGAGAAGATACCCCTGTCGCCTGAGAAACACTAACATGGAGTAGCACCTGGCTATCTGTGTAGAGAAGCGTGACACCTGACCTCCGCGGATTGAGTGCGGAAGCCCTAGCAGGGTTTCGTTGGTGAACCGAGGACTTAGACGCTATCAGTATCAAGTTCTCAGACTCCCAAAGTGAGTTGTGTAATCACACATTTGTTTTCTCAAACAGTTATGCCAGATGAGGTCTTACCATTCGGTTTCCTGCATGAGCGAGATTCCGCTGTGGGCGGCGACGAGCCGGGTAGGGGGTAACGGAAGACCTTCCAAAGTGAGACGTAGGAGGAGGTGCTGATTCGCGTGTCGGTCGGGAAGCACTTTTATCCGTTGAGCTGGTTGCAGCGGTTTTCTTGGCGGTCTGTCCAATGTCGTCAAGACTAAACTTGAGAGGTCTACAGGGTAAGTATCCATCGTCTTCTGGACGGTGGTCGATAACAGACCAGGCGATCGGGTACTTTGGCCTTGCCATCAGCAAAAGTCGACAAAGACCATCACGAGCAGCACAAGAGACCTTGAATGGAAATGCAAGGTATTGATTAGTTAATCGATATATGCCGTTTGTCAGTAGTAATCACGGAAAAGGTATGAAAGTGATGAACTTCATTTGAACACCCGCCGTCAATACGTTTTCATATAAAACGAACTCCGAGGGAGATTCAGCTCGGTTCCAGGTGAGTCCCTCGAAAAACCAAATAAGTTTGCGAATGAGTGTATTCCGTTAACTCTGAGAGAACTTGCAAGTGACCTCCAGAGATTATTGACCTTACAAACTGTAGGAAACCAAGGATCACTTACAGAAAGATTTGGGTGCATCAGCAGATTGAGAAGAATCGCGTAGATCCTCTCGCCTCGCTCATCCATGCGAATATCATGCGTTGGCGTTGGGATATCCGGCGACAGAGTGCTAATCAACAGAGCGTAGAGACAATGAACCGCGGACAGGACGAATGCACGAACGGTCGCGGCGGCAGAGCCATGAGACGCGGGGCTTGAGCGATTTACCAGACCACAGTGATTAATCCAAACTGGATGCAGAGGATCGCGCAAATATGTGGGGATGGGCAAATATCGTTCGACTGTCTCGAATGCTGTGAGAACAAGCTTTGTGAGTTGATGATGTTCTTGTAAATGACGTAGCCGCGTCGGGTCTACCAAGGCTAGATGATGGATAAACGTGGTTAGGTGTTGGAACTCGTGCAACAGCTTGTCGGCCGCGAGTGGTCTGGAAGAGGATAGGTGACAGATGTCTGTGAGTTGAAGGACTGCGGAATTGACCACATTCGTGATGGGTTGTTGAAATCCGACGGTGGAACTGTTGGCGTGAACGCCGGTCTCGCATGTCTTGCGTTGTTCCACTAGTTGTGTGATGACTGCAATTAGTCGAAACAATTGCCGAGAGAGATTCCACAAAAATGGGCCAAAAAGGTTGCAGTTCGGGTCCATGGTCTGTTCATTGGACAGAAGCGAGGTAAGCAATCTCGACACCTGGCTGCGAATGGTGTCCAACGCATGCGGAGTCGTTCGTGCACCCGCGGGCATGGTCATCAAGGACGACGGTGTCGAAAGAACCTGTTCCAAGCAGGAAAGTAACAGACGTACACCTGTAGAGCTGGTGCTCTGATTGGACGAGAACACAGAATAAAGAAAAGAAAAGACGGAAACAATAGTGCGACGCGCTCGTGAGGGGTGTGTGTGTGAGTGCAAGAATCTACATGATACGAACAAGAAATGAAAGCCACTTGGTTACAAAACAATATCCCGAAAGGAAATTGAAAACATGTGTGTTTTTGTGATGGCGTTGGTTGAGATGTAGATTGACGCATGAATACAGAGAAGTCCTCATTCAAATGCGAACTACGACAGAGTTTCACAGTACTAGCTTTTGTTGTCCCTAGAGGCAAGCGAGTAGTCTGATGAGGGTAAACTAAGCAGTATACTCTACATCTGACCAACAAACATGATGCGCGGAAACTGAACTCTTTCGAACCCCTTTTGTGTGTGTTTCGGAGACATCGATTGAAAAAGAGACCAAGGTCTGAGCAAGAGGGGCCTTCTGCCCAATTTGACACAGATTACACACGTTGAAAGCAGCATTGTGGAACAGATCCACTGAAGTTAATCAGGGTTTATTTCCAGGGCAGAAGCCTGGTTATGGACCAACGGTTAGGTGATTGGCAGAGTCAGAAGGAATTGGGTGAGGGACGTGTGAGTAGGCGTCAGCGAAGGAAGATGTGTATTCGCAAATGATACTCCCCGACGAAGGTGGTTTGGTTGAACGTTTGACAAAAAAGTGTGACCCACAATTCCGTGGAAGGGTTTGTTCAGGGCCCCGACCCCTGGCCTCTGACTCAAAAGTCGGAACCGAGGAGCCGATGACTTAATAGTCTAGTCTACTTGGCTGCCTGACCCGAGAGCACACGGGGTAAGGCATTACTATTTCACTTCTGATGCGGCCGAACACATCAGATGCCTTTTGAGCAACATCAGACTCTTTGGTCTGAAAAGTATCAAGTAATGCACCGTCGGGCGATCGGAATGTACAGTATTGAGGGTTCACCTTCTTCGGGGGAAGGCAGAAGCGCTGTCTCCATAAGCATGGGCAAGTTGGTGGCCTGATAGAAACGGCTTACTTCTTTCACACTCTTATCACACAAGACAATACAACTTTACCCCCACATCGAGTCAATGACAAGGGGAACTGCGAGTATGCGCGCAAGTATTTCGATATATCACTGACCAGGATTTTAAGGCGTTTTTTTAGAGTAAAGCCAGCTGTGTCCCCTTAATAAGTCCATCGCAATCAGACGCAATCATTGCTGCTATCCCACATTAAGTTTACCGTTGAAGCGTCTGACCATCGTTTTATCGGACGCTGCAAGTGTAACTGACAGGTAGGGTTGTTTCAAACTCGACCAAAAATGGGGAAATCAACTGGGATTAGGATTACTGTTGCTCCATCCTTCCAGGTCTATGATGAAGCGATTTGATACAACTGCCGTGTGGCTAGACAGCGCGTGCAGACCGCGACGTCTAGTACATTAGCATTCCGCTCAGCAGACTCGTTAGTCGGTAGGGCCAACTGTTTAATTTCGGTTGCGAATAGAACGAGTATAATTTCCCCAACGAAACTACCCACAAGGTTACTGAAAACCCGTAGACAAGGCAGGACTGGTTTTGCCCTTCTCGGAGCTTATCAGGTTGATGCAGTTCCCGTTTTACTTGAACCCAAATCGTGCGAGAATACACATATTTGCAGGCTAATATGGTTTTCACGGGGGACTCAACTGAATCGCAGCTGAAGGGTACCATAAACGAGAGATTCAGCTGCGATTCAGTTGAGTATCCCGTTAGAACCGAAATGGTATGCAAATGGATGAAGCTTGGTTAGAACGAGTGTGCGGCTCTTGAATATGAGCAAAGAATATTCTTATCTTTGTAATGTACTACTCACAAGGTTGCTGAAAATCCACGGAATACTCTTGTCAATTGCTCCGGTTTGAAGCGTTTGACCGATCCGACTGGCGGTCAAATCACTATGCCACACGACTCATACGATCGTTATACTCTATTGACAACACGAGACAAGCAACTACAAAGGTCAATAACAACTCACAGCTCGTTCGTTGGAATGAGCTTCCCACAGCCATCCTGTTATACATCGTTCAGACTCACCAAACATGGCTCACCCTTACCTGCTCTCCCAGGAACCAACGGGATTTAAGAATCCTCACTTTTGGACTTGCCGATTTGGATGAAATCAACAGTTTAGGGTATAATTGAGTTAAGAAACGGCGAGTCACGCGTGATGTGCCTGCGCTTCTGACAAAGTTATCCATTCTAGAGACAAAATCACACACTACGGTTGGAAAATCGTAGAGCATGTCGGCGAAGGATACCCCCCCCCTTTCATGGTCGTTGGCTGGGTCACGAGACATCGGCCCCTTACGATATGGTGATCCAAATATGATAAACTCTACCCATGGTGATGCGAGTGTCTACCACCCGGTCAAGTTCGGTGTCCAGTCATCCACGTGTCAGGAGCATTCTGATAGGTCTCCCAAGAACATTGGATGCCACCTAATACGGTATTCGCATGATATATGCGAGATTTGCAATATTCCGCTGTAAAATGGGACCATCTCTAGTAGGGCTGTTGTGTTCGAAGGGTTCTACGCACGAAACTGATGAGATGCAGCTAATTGGACTGTTCTTGTCAACCTGATTCGGGTGCATGCTGCTACCTGGGTAGCGAGACATCAGTGCGGAACGGGAGGCGCCAGTAAAATCCATCGAGTTCAGGTGCCACATCCATTAGTTGTTTTATTGAAAATGATCGCCAAACTCGGTCGGTGTCAAGCTACCCGAAAGAAGCAACAGAGCTGAGCATTGCCAGGTCTAGAAAGGTGCAGTCGAGATGCTGGGTTTGGGCACGAACCACTGACCTTTCGCCCCCCCCCCCCGTCTCGAGCTCCTCAGCTGAAACCCGATGGAAAGGGATGAGTGAGTGGAGGTAACACCGTTCTTGTAACAAAATCAATTGCTGCCCTAGACATTAAAAAGACGATGGTGCCACCATCCACATGACGTGGATTGTGGCTATCAGACCAATGCCCCCACTGCAAATGAAGGTAGGCGACCGAAATTCCGTTCACAGCGCACAGTCATGGATGATTCTCGAATGTATCGAATCGAACCAACGTGCAGACAAAGAGACTTTGAAAACTGCACTGGATGGAGAATCCTGGGAAATTCATCAACACGATGTTGAGACGTAAGCCGACCCGAAGAAAGACAGATACAGGGGAAAAGGCTAAGCGAACAGCGAGTGATTTTAATTCAACGCAACAACGAACAACATGGGACGAGGAAAACGGGCAACCAATAGGAGCGAACAAAAAATCGGTGGAGCGATTCCTGTCCAAACGTAAAGGATTTGTATTTGTGATGCACTACTCAGCAACCTTATAAGTAGTGCATTACAAATACATGAGGCGTCCTGGTGCAGCACATTCAGTTGCCTGGGCACATCACAAGCGAGAGATTCAGCTGGGTTCCACATGAGTCTCCCGCAAAACCAAATGTGCTTGCAGATGAGTATAAAGGATTTGTTTGTGCGTAAAAACACAGTTGTGGTGAAATCAGGGTAATCGAAGTTGCTGTGAAATCATCGGAGTTACCGCAACTTCTGTGAGAAGCCGATGCACGGTTGTCAAACTAATCCAATGTGGATCCGAAAAAACGATTGACTGAACTGCGACATCAAAAGTCAGTCAACCATGTCATGTGGATCGTAGGATTGAAGGATGAGTACCCCTATATCCTGTCCGAGAGCGAGTAAATCAACCTACGGATGAGCAGTTCGTATTCGAACGGTTAAGTAATCAATTACTAACAGTAGAACTTCCTGAGCTCAGCGATGATAATGCCTACCATCAGGGATGAAACAAATGTGAACAGAATGTAGTCGCGCTCAACCGTTCTCAACATCATGGCTGTAGGTCATGGATATACGAGGGCTGGAATACTGCCAGGGCGCCCACACCTAGACAGGAGGATGATTAGGGTGCTCAGCCAAAGCCTTCGGCTCAAAAGCCTAACCGCAAGGCAGCGGTATTTGGCAGGGAAATGCAAGTACATTACCATTTCTACGGAACACGTCGCCACACATGTTCCAACCCCCAACAAAAAGGGTCAGGAGACTGTGTTCGACAGACGTCTTACCATTTACCAACCTGGTGTGAGAGACTGTGAGTGTCACGGGGACACTCTCCAGTATAGCTCAATGGATCGCTGAGGTGCGCAAACCGTTACACCACAGTAAGGTCCAGTCTCTTCACTCTCTCTCTCAACCGTTCTGCTATCTAATCTTTTCGTCCTCTGTGCGCGGTTGAGCATCCGACCACAAAAAAAAATGGAAAGAAATGAAAAATCGATCAATATGCTTACCGTTTCAAGGCTTTCCGCGCCGGTTCCCCAGTGCAAGGAGGCGGTCAACAGATCACACAGCGACGACGTGAGGAAGATTACTTCTTGCAAGGGATGTCCACATAGTGGTCTATCCACACCGCAGGAGATGCCGTTGTGAACTTGTGGTGGTTGAGCTGTTGCGACCACTATCATAGGTGGGTCACCCAAACGGATCAAACTGCTAAGCAGTGCTGGCGACGGGGGTAATGGGGGTGGAGGATGGACACACACCGAGGAGATTGTACGATTACAGCTGCGATCGTTGAAGGGATTATGTTTGGCAATGGTAACGAAGCCGGTGGTAAACAGACGATCCAAACGGTAGGCCAAGACGTGTTCTGATGGCGCTGACCAGGGAGAACGGAAAGGGGGATGATGGGTAAGCAACAAAAATATCATCCTTATCATATAGATGACTGAATCTTTGCTGGTCAAAGTTCCGATGAGAAACGCGCAAGTAATTCGATTGGATTGGTACCTCCGTATTGTGACTCTTAGACGTTTAACTACTCAGAAAGCGGCCCCGTAGAAATCCAAAGCCAATTTGATACTGCAAAATGAACAGTGGGAAACAAATTCTGTCATGTCCAACTACGTCGCAGTCATTGATATAGTTGAAATTTAGCTTCTGAGGAAGGAGGACATGAAGCAGAGAATGCGCGGTAGAACGCGATGTCCACTACACCGATTGTATTTAGAACGACAGTCGATGAGCCAGCCCTAACACCTGCTCGAATAGGGTGACATCAGATTCAAGGTGAAAACCATCAAAGTGAGAAAGAGGACGTCAATTAGGCGCTACAGATCTGCTTGAGGGCTTCAACCAAACAGTGGGTGGCGAGATTCCTTCATTATTCCATTGAAATTCATCCATCAGCCTCAATCTCCAGAGTTGTCATCTTCATTTTGTCACAAATACTATTTCACTAATGTCTCTTCTTTCGGTCAGCGATACACGCGGCTAATACAAGGTGTCTCATAATAGACGCAAAATTTGATTGGATGAGTGAACGTAGCAAACCATTATTAGTAGCCACATAAAGGAGGCTTTGCGTGCCAGTGTTGGCATTTTTTTCTGTCTGGGATGGATGTCAGTACGCGCATTGAAATTGCGAAACTCTATTATTCCCTTGGTAAAAGCGCCATCGCTACACTTCGTGGTTACAATACCAAACATGGTCTCATCAAAGATCCTTTCACCGTGTCGACCATTACACGCTTGATTGCGAAATTTGAGTCCACTGGATCTGCATTGAATTTTCCTGGCAAAGGGAAGAGGTCTCTGAATGATGAAAGAGCGCCCATTGTACAAAATGCTGTCGAAAAACTTCAGTCCCAGAGCATCATGGCATCTTCGTCCATAACTCAGGCGTCTCAGTTGACCGGCATTCCCCGCGCCTTCGTGCATCGTATTATGAGACGCCACATTAATCTCTACCCGTACCCTTTCACTTTATTACAAAACATCACAGAGGAAGACATGGAGCAACTGGCTGCTGGACAATGAAGAAATCATTCCCAACATTTAATGGGGCGAAGCAATTTTTTCTGTGGATGGCATAATCAACAAGCACAACTGCGTGATGTGGTCCCGTGAGGCTCCTCACGAGTACCTCACCCATAATCTCCATTCCCCCCATCTCCTCAAAGTGCCTCCTGCGTCCCTTTCTCTTTGATGCTACGGTTTCCTGCGACAGTTACCTCCATATGCTGCGGACGCATGTTATCCCATAACTCAAGCAGCACAAGAAGTCATCGACCGTCTTTCAACAAGATGGCGATCCACCGCACTACTCAAACCAAGTGAGAAATTACCTCCGAGAGCAATTTTCTGATGAGAGAATCATTGTTCGTGGATTTCCAAACTTTTGGCCCGCAAGGTCACCCGATCTCACACCTCTGGATTATTGATTTTAGGGGATGATCAAGGCTCGCGTATATCACGAAAGTCAACCGAAGAATTTGGTTGAGTTAAGAGCAAGAATCGAAGAGGAGTGTGCACGAGTGACGCTTGAAGAAGTTAAACATGCTGTGTCTCACATCTCATACCACCTCCAACTTGTTATAGAAGAAAGGGGCGGTTTTGTTTCAACATCTTTTGTAATGCCAGTTTGTTCGCAGTAAACCTCCATAATGCATGTATGTCCACATAAAAAATGATAAATGTTTGAATTGGTGTTGAAGTTCTACCATGAGTATTCTTTGTTGCGTCTATTTTGAGACACCCTGTAGAATGAACCAAAGTCAACTACAAGAAGAGGATTATAGTTGTTTGGGGAGGACAACCTTGTGTGTCAGACATAACCGGATGTACTTACTTGACGTTGAACAGATGGATTTCATGTCTGCCAACGGAGGAGCTCTTGCAGCACTGGAGGCATCCAAACTGATGTTCGCCTGGCTGACCAATCGGGGAGTACGATGAACGAATAGATCGAGTGGACCGACGGATGCGGTGCCATAACTTGGGAGTCTGATGGAACTGGGTCGACGTAACAAGCCTTCGTAGGAAATGCGCGTAGTGTCCAGATCGGATTTGGGCGCCGTGTAGACAGAGACCAAATCTACGCTGGTCAGACCATCGGGATCCGCGCTGCATCCAACTAGAGGGGTTGAGGAGAATAGTGAACGGGTGAACAAAACAGCGTGGTCACATGCACACAAATAGGATAAACATGGTTCAAAGAGTGAATACGTTCGGCGAGACACCTTTTGTGACCAAGCTAATTTTGCTTCAAACATTTACAGGAAAACCGAAGGACGGAACTTTTTTGTCATAATTCTGCGCACGCGTTTCGAACCCATGGGATACAAAGTTTGAGAATACCCGTCTCTTTGTGTCCCCTTGAAAGTTGGGAAAGAGACGGAAAGATCTGGGTTTGTTGACTGGTTCACATAGCTTGGTGATGGTAAGATTCACGAGAGATGAAGCACATTCTCAGAGCACGAGCAAACTTCTGTAAGATTTTGCGGAATATTGTTTGACAACTCGGAACGGATTAACTGTCAGATTGAGGCGACCGGACATGATCACGTCCCCCAAAACCCAGGTTGGAGAGGGATTCATCGTCTTGACTGGGATTCTTGCGTATGATCTGAAACCCTACAGGAAGTCGTGCGTAACCTGTCTTATTGGTGAGAACGGTGTTGCTTTTAGGTTAGACTGCTGCTTCGCTTCTTTGTTGGCTACGGTTCGTAAAGAATGAGGAGGGAGATTGTGCTGATGGCAACGAATTCCCATATGATTCTGGGATCTCTGAGAACGTTTGGTTTTTTTGCAAGCCATCCCACTCTCCTCTTTCTTTCCACTCATAGCCGGTTCTTTTTCACTCACGGTTTCGTGGCATTCGAATATGAGTATGTATCTGTAGAATACTTCGACGTATTCAGAAGAGCCCACTTGAGTGACGCGCAAAATCACAAGCCAGAAATCGAGGATTCTTGAGATCTATTAAAAGATGCGGTACTACGTGTATAAAATACATAATAAAAGGGGTACAAACCTCAAATTATGGGGAGTTCCGTCTAAACTGTTGCACGAAGTAGTTCAAGTTCAAAGAAAGCCCGAAGAAGATGGTAAATCGATCTTAGTTTGCGACACATGCCTGGGCACAACACGTGGTAACGCAAAACGGTCAAGAAGCGCGCGTAGTCGACCAAATTGGTTCGACAAGTCAAGGGTTAAAAGTTCATGAGGGATTACAAATGCATATCGAGTCTATGAGTTAAACACAGTAAACAGCAGCAGACAAAGGAAGAGTCTGACCGGGGGAAAGGAAGTACATGGTGATGAAATGCATCAGAGATG